GTTTTTGAAGACCCTCCTGTTTTAAGCTGTTCCTGTTGACTCCTCCTCCTCCTTAGACACTTCACTCAGTGATCTTTGCTGAGCAGATCCGTGCATGTGCATAGTAGAACCCTCCAGGGATGGGGGAGTGTCCACTCAGTCAGGCACCCCCTTTAGTCACCAGAGTAGAAGTGTGCAGGCAGAGAAAGATAAACATAGAAAGAAATGTTCACACCTTTATCTCTGCTGATTGGTCAGACTTTTGTGATGGGCGTGCTCTCTTGATCTTGTATTGCTCCATCCCACTCAAAATGGCTGTTCTAGGACTCACTGGCCACTGCAAATCAGAAAATACTGCTTTTCTTGCTTATACTTCAAATACCATTCACAGTAGGCCCTGATCCTCCTAAATATTCCTTTATATGAAGTTTAGAGTTCTGGGATCATCCTTTGAACCTGTTTTGTCTGGTATTCCATGTTATTATTAATGGTGGAGGTCTACACAGCCCTTCTCCCTAACCTGTTAACAAACCCCACCTCCCTCACATTGATTTTGGTTCATGGCAACCCCATGTGTGTCAGATTAGAAGTATACTATAAGGTTTTCTATGATCACTTTTCTGAAGCAGAGCACCAGGTATTTCTTTAGAACCATGTCTGAGTGGATAATCCATAAAAAATCTTGCTTTTCCTCTGGAAATCCACTTCCTTCCCTCCTCAATTCCCCATTCTCCATGATGGCAACATCACTCATTTATATAATAAATTTAGAAGTTTTATGGGATTCCCTACTTTCTTTCATTCTCATATCCAACAAGACTTATTAGCACCAAAAGAGATCTAACTCTGGTCTTTTCTAAATCACCTCTCACACAGTGATTATCACAAATTCTTTAATCTCTGGGTATTTAGTGTTTTCCCTTATAGGTTGTGCATCTGCTCTTAATATGGTTAAAAGAAAAACTAAACCCATTACCATCCTGTGAATTCTGACTCAAAGTGACCCTGTATAGAGTTTTTGAGACTTTAAACCTTTATGGGTACAGACAGCCTCATTTTTTCCCACAGAGTAGTTGGTTGGTTTGAATTACTGACCTTACAGATAACACTCGACCCCTAACCCACAGCATCACCAAGATTCCTTTCCTGTGGTCTACAGGGTTCTAGATGTGGTGGTCTCTGTTTACCACTTTAATCTCACTTCCTATAATGATCTTTATTCCTCACTCTGCAATGGATATGTTACAATATTTTTAAATACTTGGCACAATTGGTATTTTTTTCCCCTAGAAAGCTCTTCTCAACAGTTACTTTCTTCTCATGGGACACATTTCCACTCAAATAGAACTTCCATAATCACAGTCATACAAGATTAAGCAGCTATTTTAGACAACGGGAAAAGCTCTTCTCTTAGGATGTTAGTTACTTTGTCATGCATCCTGTTACTCATTTGTTTCCTTCATAACAAGTTTTTACTTGCTTCATAACAATAGTTTTTACTTGTTCCTTTTCTGGGATATAACTATCATGGCATGTGTATCTCAGAATATTGTGCATGACTACATCTTGTGCACTGCAACAGTATTGCCCCACTTTTTCACTCCACTGCCTTCTTATATTGTCTATTGTAACATGTAGGAAAGTCATTCTGGTTGGTGATTAAAAAACTAACAAGTACTTCTGTTATAATAAGTATTGTCAAGATGGTACAAATTAATGAGACTTAAAAGCCCTTAAAATGGAGTTCTGGTGTGGTGCTGTAGGCAAATGTGTCAGGCTGCAAAGTCATTTGAACTGCAGGGTCAGTGGTTCAAGCTCACCAGCTGCTTCTTGGAAACCCTATACAGGGTTGCTATGGGTTGGAATCGACTCAATGTCACTTAACATCAACAACAACAAGCCCTTAACCACATAGGAACCAGAGAAAAAGCTTAGCAAATATCCTGCTCACTGGTTCAATGAATCTTGTCTGAATCAATGAATGAACAATGGATATTAGACATTCATATTTGAGGCTATTAGAATGTATTGTGTAAGTAGAATGTTTGAGAAAAAAAAGTTTATCTTAAAAGTGTGTCTTCCATTTTATGACTTAAACACACCTTTTGATTCCATTCTTTCCTAAGATAAGTCAACTATTTTTCTCTACAAAATATATAGTCTCTTCTTTTTCCTAATTTCTCTTCAGAGGTATCTGACAACTTCATTTTTTCTATTGGTTTGGATTTCAGTTCAATTTTCAGTTCATTTCTGAAATCTAATGTGGACTGGAGGTCTCTGTGGTCTAACAGGTGTGCCTTTGATTGACAGAAATGAGGAAGATTGTTCATTAGTCACTTACTAATTGTAATGGTAATATACACAGATTTTACATAATATTTCTACTTATACTTAAAAAAAATCATCAAAGATTAAGAAATATATTTGTTTTTACAATAATAGAACAAATACTCTGTGGAGAACTAATAATGCTAGGAATTTTGTTTCACCAATAATTCCTATCTCACTTTAATTTCCCTTTATCTCTGCTCAGCCTTACAACCTCTCTGATCATGTTCAGATAGTAAAAATGTATCTATTTTTTCTGTCTCAACATAATCTTATCTTATAATTTACAGGTACAATCCAATGAATTACACAAAATTCCAAACTTTATTTTGAATTAAAGCCTATAATCTCCTCCAGTTTGTGTCTGGAAGGCAGGGGTTATTTGGTCTGACTTCTTATCTTTTCTGTATTTTTGTCTGAAATTTCTGTGATCTGGCATTCCTTCCCTCTGGGCTGGGTGGGTTGATTTATGTCCCCTGATGTCTTGGATTCTTCTTTGGTTTCAAGATCCATCTTTTTTTCTTCAATCATTTTAAGTTTGTTTGTAAGATGTATTTATAAATTTCTAGTATTTTTGGAAGTTGTCAGCACAATAATCCTACTGTGTATTGAATCTGAGAATTTATTTTTGATGGCTCACTTCTGTGAATGATCATTATGGATTTGAGTTCATATAAAGAGAGAGTTGAGCAAATCAGCCTTGGCCTAATTCTTAGAAAAGATTTTTTTCTGGGAAGAGATTCTCAGGCAATGCAAATAGTATACATTCCAAATGTTCTCTTCCTTTTACATGTTTATGAGTTTTCCAAATTTCATAGGGAGGCTCCTAATTTTAACCCAGAACTCAGGACAATTTTGATGAGAGTCATTACTGTGTTACTGTTGCGATAGGCAGAATCTCTTTAACTAAGTGTGAGGCCCTTCCGAGTTTCTAGCTCCAGAATCTCCAATTGTCTACCTGATGTGGGTTTCTTTCCTTATTTCTATAGGAGCCTAGGTCTCAACATATTGTTAACATGCAGTCCCAGGGTCATCAGAATTAGCTGATGGCTCTAACTTTTCAATTTTCCATATTAATATTCCTTATACTCTTTCAGAAGACCTGGTGTGGTGCTGTGGGCTAATACGTCAGACTGCAAAGTCATTTGAACTGCAAGGTCAGTGGCTCAAGCTCACCAGCTGCTCCTTGGAAACCCTATACAGGGTTGCTATGGGTCGGTATTGACTCGTCAGCACTTAAAAACAACAACATACTCTTTCAAGCTATGCATCCAAAGAGCTTTACTATGTTTTTTACAGTATATTTATAGTGAGGATTTTTATCCACTGGAAGCTTCCAAATGAACTTTCAATGAGGTTTTTGCTAAGTTTTATCATTCAGTAGGTCTTGATTCCAGTTGATGGGCATGAGATCCCAGAACCTAAAGAAGTTATAATACAGGTCAGATCCCTCATTTAGAGCTATTGATATCACGATTCAGTGTAACTGTGACAGGCCTAATTGTTAATTGTTAGAACCAATTAGAACATCAGAACCTTAATCTAGCACATTTCTCAGCAAGCCTAATTTTCAGTTAGCTATTAGACACAGAACACTTCTCTTTTCCTTTGCTTGCTTCCTTTTACATTCTTTTCTTTTAGTAGGTAAATGGTAGTTCCTGACAGGAAAGAACCAAAATGTCTACTGTAGCTGAAGCCAGGGCCACAGAAGCAGACATTTCCAATAAAGGTAATTAAAAAAAAAAAAACTTGCTATAATAATTTGGATGAAAATTTACAGAGAACATTGATTTTCCACTTATTAATTATGTATATTTTATTTCATCACATTGATTGCCACCTTAACAAAGTATGAGCACTCTTTCTGCTTCCTCCTTGTTTCCCATTTCCATTCATTCATTTTTCCTATCCCTTCTTGCCTTCTGAGCTGAGTACCTCTGGGTATCAATGGGTAAATGATATCCTTTTGATCTCTATTGTTGATTATTCTAAAGAGTGCATACCTCCTTGATATTATTGCTTACCTTTTAGTCTTTTTGTTTGGTTGAAAGTTGAGTCAAGAGGGTGAGTTCAGGGCAGAAGTTGCAGGATAACGAAATTCCATAGCCTAGGATTCCATAATATGTCAAACCAGTAAGGCTGCTCTGTTTATTATTTTGAATTTTATGTAACATTTTTCTCCCATTCCATCCAGATCCTTCTATTGTGATCCCTTTCACAGTGTTCAGTGGTGAAAATTTAGACACATCTCAAGTACAGAACTCCAGGAAAGGTAAAATCATTCCCAGGCATCTTGTATTGGTTTATGCTGGAACCTATGTTACCTCAATTTCTCTTTTAGCATGATATACAACGATCTGTTGCTACTACTGCTGTTATTGTTAAGAGCCATCAAGTTGGTACCAACTCATAGAAACCATATACATCATAGACTGAAACACTGCTTAGTCCCTATGCCAATCTCACAATTTTTCCTATGCTTGGGCCCACTGTTGCTGCCACTGTGCCAATCCATATCTTTTTTGGTGACCTTCTGCTTTACCAAGCATGATTTTTTTCTTCAGGGATTGGTCTTTCCTGATAATATATCTGAAGTATAAGAGATGAAGTCTGGTCATCCTGGCTTCTTAGGAGTCTTCTAGCTGTACTTCTCCCAATACATATTTGTTTGTTCTTCTGTCAATCCATGATACTTTTAATATTCTCCTCCACTATCATTCTCTACTACTATAAATCATATAAAGCAAAGGAAATTAAGTAATTCATGAAATGAAATATAAAATTCATTAAATACACTCTGATATATTAAGAAGAGATCATTCCAAAAATAGAAAATCAAAGCCTTGTCAAATATTCTTAATGGCAAACATATTAATTTATAAAAGTGTATTTAATTTCCATCGCCCTGGTGGCATAATGGGTTATATGTTGTTGCTCACCTCAAGGTCAGCAGTTCAATTCTATCAAATGCTCCGTAGGAGAAAGATGAAGCTTTTTACCCCCATAAAGGTTTAAAGCTTCAGAAACCCTGCACAGGGTTGCTAGGAGTAGGAACCAGCTCAACAGCACAAACTATCACCACCAGCACCACCACATCAGGAGGCAGGCATATGCTTATTCCAGTTTACAGATCATATACTAAGATTGCACATACTTGAGGACACAAAGCTATAAGTGGAGAACCTGGAACTAAAACCAAAGTTTAGAATCTGTCTATTCCAGAAACACAACTAGAGCTAACCTACACAGTAGGAAAGAGTGTGGCCCATTCCCAGTAATTTTTCTCCATAGCAGCACTGAGAAAGATATGCCCACATATGCCTTGCCTGTTGTTGTTGTGAAGTGCCATTGAGTTGGTTCTGACCCGCAGAGACCCTGTATGTGGTTTCTAAGGAGCAGCTGGTGAGCTTGAACCACTGACCTTGAGTTTCAACCTGACATTGCAGTCCAGCGCATTGACCCACAACACCACACTAGGACTCCATGTCTTGCATAGTGATCACATGTTATCTGTGCATTTTCTATATAGGAACAGCCTATCAACCCCTTCTAGTTGTTGACAATCTAAGGTATCTAGATTCAACTTGAGAGAAAGTACTAAAAGTGCCACAAATATTGTCAATTTTTTGCAAACCTGAATTACAGTATCAAGATAAATTTTACATAGTTCTTTTATTGAACCCTTTTTCAAAGCACAGCTTTTCCAAAGGGAAGCTTGAGAAGACAGATTCCAGTATAATGAAATGTGCAAAGACCTGGAGTTAGAAAGAACTAAATAAAAAATTAAAACCTCAGGTGGCAATATTGAAAAATTCATGGGAAAAATATTGAGTGATGAAAGAGGCATCAAAGGAAACTGGAAGAATATGCATAGTAACTGAATAAAAAAGAATTGGTTCAGTCATTTCAAGAGGTACCATATAATCAGAAACCAATCATATTGAAAGAGAAAGTCCAAGAAGCACTGAAGATATTGGGAAAAAAGAAAAACCAAGACTCCAGGAATAGATAGAATACAAATCAAAATGTTTGAAATAAAAAACTGATGTAACACTGAAGCGCTCACTTGACTATTCAAA